ATTTACAGGAAATCTTCGAGACTCTTTATTTAATGTAATTTTAAATTTTGATTGGTACTCTTCATTATGCTTAGCCGTTTTAAATGGCTAAGAATGACCGAACTAGTCTACTTTATGAACAGTTGATGTAACAGTTTCATGTTATCTGCTATTAAAGTATTATGATACTTAGTTGTGTTGTTTATCTTTCTTTTTTTTTGTAAAGTTATAAAAATTTACACATTATAAATATATAAAACAAAACATATTGTAGAGTCAAGCCCTCCCCGCTAGCTCAGTGTTAAACTTGTGGGCTTTCAACAGTAAAAATCTGGGTTCCATACGTATGGTGGACATCGCGAAGATAACTGATTTTGTTGCTTTGCACGTAAAAAGATAAAGCAAAGACTTTTAACAGTCGTATTTAAATTATATAACCAACAAGCTGAATGCCCATCATAAAATGATTAATTCTTCTCAAAATTATAGCACAGCGGTATGTCTACGGACTTACAACGCTAGAAACCGGGTTTCGATACTCGTGGTGGGCAGAGCACAAGATAGCCTATTGTGTAGCTTTGTGCTTAACTACAAATAAACTCAAAATTGTATCTAAATAGACATTTTATGAACATGTTTTCTAAAATTTAATTATAATCTAGCAACAATATATCTACATTTTTTATAATTATGTTTGTTAACAAAAATACAAACAAACTGAAGAAAAGGAAAGAACATTGATGTCAAACGAATATGCATCATCATTCATCCTGGTTTTTTTTGTGTGTGTGAAATCTACGTCTTTTAGTCTCAAAACCACGTGTTGTAATCTTTCTTTTAAGTATTGCGTTATGGCGGTTTTATGTAAAATCTGTACGTGAAGGAGAAAAATGGATATCATTTTCGGATTCAGCGTACAGGAATTACTGTAGAACACGTAAAATTTTAAAGACAATAAACTATCGCAGGCCTGTTTAATAACTAGTATAACATATTTTGAACTTGTGAGCTGAAAACGGAAATTCCAAAAGAATATTTCACAAAAACTAAAAAGCCTATAAATAATGAAGTTTTAAAGTGGCTTATGTTAAACGTGATTACTAAGATTATTTTACGAAAACAAGTAAAAGATGGGGATGTCGGTATCATGTAGTTAAATAAAAGCCGAAATTATAATGAAACTGGATTAAAACGGATCGTCTTACGACGAAATTTAATGCATACTAGCTGACGTGCCCTTTCAATGCACGGGGAAGACAATAGGGGAGTAAGATGCGAACGGCGACCCCTTATGTCATTCCCTAGAGGAGGCCAGGTTTGGTGACAATCCGTCTAGCATTTCGCCAGTTATAAACGGACACAGACTTTTTGTCAAATATTGGTTTAAATTACCTAACAGTTTATTGTATTATGTAACTAGCTGACATACCCGTTCAACACACACACACACACAAAACAGGGGGTTAGATCCGAAGGCCGGTCACTCTCGGGGGACCCTAAAGGCACATGCCAGGTTTGGTGTCAGTCGTCCAGTAGTTCGCCAGTTATAAACGGACACAGACTTTTTGTCAAATATTGGTTTAAATTACCTAACAGTTTATTGTATTATGTAACTAGCTGACATACCCGTTCAACACACACACACACAAAACAGGGGGTTAGATCCGAAGGCCGGTCACTCTCGGGGGACCCTAAAGGCACATGCCAGGTTTGGTGTCAGTCGTCCAGTAGTTCGTCAGTTATAAGCGGATTCACATACTTTTGTCAACTAACGGTTTAAATATACTTTATACATATTTTAAAAGCTCGTATTCACTTGTATCTCGTCAGCTCAACTGTTGTATTCCATTGCGTGTAATTTTTTTCTGTTTCTTTATTGAATTTCGCGCAAGACTTCTCGAGGGCAATTTACGCTAGCCGTTCCTAATTTGGAAGTGATAAACTAGAGGTAAGACAGCTAGTTAACACTGCCCACCGCCAACTCTTGGGCTAGTCTTTACAAACGAAATGTGAGATTGACTGTAACATTATAACATCCTCCACGGCTGAAAGGGCAAACATGCTTGGTAAAAGGCATGAGTTGGTCCTGTGGTTAGAACGCTCTGGATTTTCGAGCTTGCAAGCCAACTTAATTTTCCCAGAACGTTGAACTATGAGTGCGTTATAAGAGTGACAGCCAATCCCTTAACGCAGGATGCTGCTGACTGATTGCCCTCTCTTTCGCTGGTCAGTAGTTCAGAATTATGGGGGGTCAAATTAAAGGGGAAGATAGTTTATCAGGTGATTTAGGACTACGACCCCCTCCCACCCCCCACTGTCAACTCTTAAAGAAGAAAACATCGAGTCTACGGTCTTAATACTTAAATGTATTTGATATTTTTAATCAGGTTGTTGTGTTATGTAGCATATGGGCCCAACGGTCAGGCAGGAGACGTAGTTATTATTCGTATTATAGCTATACGTACGGTACTGACACTAACTGCAACCAGATACCGTTCGTGCCGCAACCACGAAAAGAGGATTAAATAAGATAAGGACCTAAAAACAATACGCCCTAATGTATAGAATGTTGTACGTGAATATGAATATGTAACAAAGTAACTTTGAAGTCCACTGTATGAGTTGAGTAACGTTGTATCGGGTTAGTCTGTTCAGTTACTTAAAACGTCGCAGGGTTTTGAATTAAATTACATTATAAATTATCTGCTTTTTTTAACTTTAAATTTTATCAACTATGAAACAATAAAGTCTGAAGACTGTTTGAATGAGTAATGAAGAAAGTTTTTATTAGAAAACCTTGTCGAAACTTTGTACGTTAGTTACCATTTTGACCTCCAGACGGCGGTTGTGTAAATGTTCGAAGTCAAAATTCCTTTTAAAAGAACGATTTATTAATACACCATAATTCATAAAAATGAGACTGTTGCCAGTCTGAAAAATACAATACTAAACAACTTACTGAAGATGGCGTAATAAAAAACGCCGAAACATTCGAGTGAATGTAGACTGTTTACAGTCTCATCTGGTTCTTTTATTCTGTACAGTAAGTTATTTAGTATTGTATCATATTTTGTGAGCCTGGAAACAGTGTCAGTTCAATGTTTATCGTGTACTGATAAATCATTGTTTTAGAAAGAGTTTTGACTTCGATTAGTTACACAACCGCCATCTGGAGGTCAAAATGGTAACTAACGTACACCGTTTCGACAAGGTTTTCTAAAACTTGTAATGAAGTTTTATTCATTAACCATTCAAGCCATCTTCAAACTATGTTGTTTTTTATACGTAATTCCTAGTGTCCATAACTTGTGAGGTCCTCGGTTGTCCACAAAACGAGAAGACGTTATCACTCCTAATCATTGGACAATAAGTAATTTTCGTCGTTTCTGGAGTATTTATATATTAATGGGTCAGCCAAATCATGAATAAAACGTTTTGATGGCATTTTTTTTTTGTAAAACCGGTCACCCACACTAAATCAACTTTAAATGGGATTGAATTAAGATATAAGTGGATGACCTTCTCGCTTTTAAAGTCATAAAGGTCACCGGGGGTCAAATTGGAAAAGTGTGAGATTTTCTTGAATTATCATCTGTTTATGAATAACTCAGAAAAACTAGCTTCACTATCATCAGAAGACCAACAACATACGTGTAAGGGTGATTAACATGTTAATTTGTAGTGACATATATGAGAAATAAGAACAGAAAATGCGTCCCCCCCCTCAAAATCACATTATCAACATCATGTTTGTACCTAATATTTACCATAGCTTGACCTCCAGGCACGTATGATTGAAAAAAAAAGTGGGCGACATCAATGTGAAGAAAAGATAAATTAGTGAATTAGGTGAAATTAAAGACCTAACCAGAAATATTGTTTGACAAACATCTGCATAAATGAACTGTTCATATTACATTTAGTCTGTAAACGTATTTTCTGTTCAACAGACCAGCAACTTAGCTTTTTCTTGGCTGTATAATGGGCTATCTGCGTTTTGTTTACCGTGAGGAATTGAACCCTGGACTTTAGCACACCACTAGGTCCTCCTGGGTATACACAGCTACAGCATATATATAGTCTACAGGATTACAAGGGTTCGGATCCCCGTCCCACCAAACATGCTCGCCCTTTCAGCCGTGGGGGCGTTATAATGTGACGGTCAATCCCACTATTCGTTGGTAAAAGAGTAGCCCGAGAGTTGGCGGTGGGTGGTGATGACTAGTTGCCTTCCCTCTAGTCTTACACTGCTTAATTAGGGACGGCTAGCGCAGATACCCCTCATGTAGCTTTGCGCGAAATTCAAAAACAAACAAACAAACAGGATTACAACGGTCCATCACAACCTGCCCCCCAGTAGCACAGCGGTATGTCTGCGGACTTACAACGCTAGAATCCGGGTTTGATACCCGTGGTGGGCAGAGCACAGATAGTCCATTGTGTAGCTTTGGCTTAATTACAAACAAACAAACAAACCATCACAACCGTAAATAGGAGTGCGCCTCACATTTTTTTTTCGAATCAAATTAAAAACTAACATGTTTTATGTTACAGATCTCATATCATTAATTCATCCAGGAGTAGAGTAAATGGGTTAAATACTCATACCTTCATGTACCTTCCTTAAACAATATCTTACTTCGTGATATGAGGTTTTTCACACATTTTCTACCTGCTTTAGTGATATAGAAATTTTAAAAACATTTCGTTTATTTTATGTGTATGCAGTTGTATCATAAGAACGTGGTCTAGAAATTCGTTGAGATTGCATTGTTATGGTTGCTTTGTTTCCTTGTTCTCTACAGTAGGTAATGTTTATTCTGCCCGAGAGAATATTGCAGTAACATATAGCATTCGGGGTTGAAAGATTAACACTGTAATACCCATTAATGGCCGAGTTGGAGTTGCCTAAATGTAACAGCCACCAATGCTGTGAGAGAACAAGGGTCACGAGGTTACGCTGTCGACTAGACAAAGAAACCGAATTTACCTGTTTAATTCAGGCGCGTTTTTTTTTTGTGAACCAGTTCTTCTAAAAGATAGTAGAAAGAAAACATACTTCAAGATCATCGTGCTTTAGTTCCACGGATATTAGTCCTGAGAGAAAGAAATCTGTGGAGCTAAACACTCCAGTAGAAGCAACCGTGATTCCATTTACACAAGTAAGCACACTGCGCTTTCTGTTTGTTTCTTAATTTACGTTTGTCCAATCTCGTTATATCACACTTGATGTTGTTGTTGTTTGAAGTTAAACACAAAGCTACACAATAGGCTATCTGTGCTCTGCCCACCACGAGTATCGAAACCAGGTTTCTAGCATTGTAAGTCCGCAGATATACCGCTGTGCCACTTGAAGTTAAGTTGTGAAACACAGAACACTCCCCTTATTTGGTAATCGAATCTGTTGTTATTTGCGAGATTACCTGTCTGATACTTGTCGGAAAATCGGTTTTACTCGAAAATATCGCAACTCTATTTGAATTACCTCTAACATAAAACTTTTATTTTTCAACAAATACTTTGCATCAGTAAAAACATCTCAATGAGCTGTTTCCAAAATTCCGTAGTATTTCTTACTTCTTTCTCGTGCTGTCCCCTGATTGATCAGTGGTAAGTTTACAAATTTAAAATGTTAAATTCGGGGTTCGATTCCCCGCGGTGGATAGAGCGCAGATGTCCCGTTGTGTAACTTTGTTTGTAATTAAGCATAAAGCTACACAATAGGCTATCTCTGCTCACCACGAGTATCGAAAAACGGTTTCTAGCGTTGTAAGTCCGTAGATATGTCGCAGTGCCATTGGAGGACGTTCTGTAGCTTTGCACCTAAACAAACAAATAATACTCCTGCAACAGTTAGGTGACCAGAAAAAAAAATTGAGGTTAAATTGAACAGTTTGATCCTAATTTTTGTAAATCATCTGTTACTCTCACAATGCAGTACACATAACCCACTGTGTAGCTTAACAACAAACAAACGAAACTACTGAGTCTTGGTATACGGCATATTTGTTCATGAAGTAAAAGTATTATATACGTTTTGTTGGTAAAATAGTAATGGTAAAATTATTAACCACGTGCGAGTTATTTGCTGGACCGAGCGCAGCCAAGTAGGTGGCGTGCTGTTACCTCAAAAAAATTCAAAGTGTTAAAGCCACACCGGTTTCCATTTTCTAACGTTATAGTATATAGTATAAAATGTGACACATATTTCATTGTATATCATAACAATACTGCCCTCCCCCAGTAGCACAGCGATAAGTCTGAAGGCTTATAACGTTCAAAACCGGGTTTAACTAACCGTGGTGGGAAAAGCAGAGACAGCCCATTGTGTAACTTTGCCCTAAACAACAAACAAGTAAACATAAAAATATTTTCACTATTACACAAGAGGGGGAGACCAGATCTGCACTTGAGAATAAAACTATGCGTTTTGAGCCCCTCGGTGACTCTGCGGTAAATCTGATATCTTATAATATAAAAATCGACTTTCGATACTCCTGGTGGACAGAGCACCTTGTGTAGCTTTGTGCTTAACAACAAAGACACATGTTCTGAAAACTGATATTCATACGAAGAATCAAGACTTTAATAATAGCAAAGAATTTATTAACCCATGAAAAAAAAATGTAAATGTTATGAACACACAAACATAAAAAGCTTTTGAAGTACAAGATAAAGTACAAAAAAAACTTTCTCAAATTACAAACTTAAGATTTAAGATGAGAAACTTCTATCTACTACCTCTGCTTTGTTGAACTATATTTTGAATGCGTATTTAGAAATATTACAACTGAGGCCCAGAACTTTCCAAATACTACGAGATATTATAATATAATAATACCCGAGAAAAACTTAGAAGGTTCTAGCAATAATACACCAGTTACCAATTTATGATAATCGAACTAAATAACCTATGATTCGCACAGTTCGTAAACAAATCTGTGATAAACTATCGCTTTTAAAAATAAATAAATTTAATACTCGCGCTATACTTAAATTAAGTCTTTTATATCTAGCACACTAAAACCTGAACAGTTCACATACATCAGGTTATTTCACTCGTAAGTTTGATCTCATATCCAAAACAATTACAAAAAAATTCCTCATTCTACGTATAATGGCTTATTTACTTATTTTCAACTATAAACCTTCCTTGTACATATTATGGTGGTCATCGACCTAAACGTATTTTAAACGGTTTTTTTTTCTTACAACTTACGTTTATCTCATTAATCACCTAAACAGCCTTTACTAATTGTCTCGAGCAACGATGTAAATATTACTCTGGAAACATCAATGGTTTATTATAGACCTTCTTGATGGTTCCTCTAGTAGGCTTAGCGTAGTATTGTTTCCTGTAGCTGTACTGAGTAGCTATCTTTCAAGGCCGACTACCACCTCTCGTAAGTGTTTTCGCTGTATTAGCAAATATATATCTTACGTACGATGAAGCCAAAAAAGCGAAAACTTTGAATATAAACTTATTATTATTATACCTTGAAGTCATATTTTTTTTTCTTGGTTCAGTACTTATTTTAAGGTCGAGAAATCAAATACTACTACTTTCAAATGTTGTGCTAGCCAAGTTGCTTTTGCTCATGCGCAATAATTTACAAATAATTTATTAATGTTATTTCTTTTTAACTTCTTATCAAATGTAGTTCAAAATTATGCCAGTTGGTCCAGTTGCTAACATAAGAGAAGAGGAATTTGATTTTTTTTTTTTTGCTTTTATTTTTGCATGCATACTGCACAAGACTACTCCGTAATAAAGTGAACATTTTTGAAACTACTACGTATTAGTCACTGCATGCCAACTATATCCAGGTGTAATTACAATAACGCACGTGTGTCTTTTCTCAGCTGGTAAATGGTATATCAACGACACACTAGGCATCACGTCACCAGAGCGGTTCCGTAGTTCTAAGAAATTTTTACGAATGGCTGCTGGTACTAAAGAATTGTTATCATACCCTGTACGTGCTTTCTTACAGACTTACCTACGTATTAACTTATGATTACACAGCATTGTAATAACGCTGTTATTAGTACATTGTTAAATCATTTAATGGCACAGACTAATCGCGTCTCAGTTTTATTCATTGATATTTATGATAATTAACGACATGAATTACTTAAACAAGGAATTTACGTAAGTACACTTCTGATTTCAAGTGTGGTACGTAACGCCATAGTTGGCGCAGTATGTGATATATTTATATTTATTTATTTTTTAAATATAGATTAAAACTATGTAGAATGAATTAGAAGGTTTAAAAATAACTATGGTTACACACTTTTCAACTGCCCCACTATGCGCAGTATATAACGCGTGTCTTAAATATAATTTAAATTTCACATTCTTGTACTCGTAACCTACAGTTTATGAGGCCTTTTGCTCAATACTCGAAAGGATTAGGGAAAAAAGTACAATATACAAATATATTAACTTGACAGGCTTTCAGTTCACGTGATAGAAGATGATGTTTAACCACGTGATTAAGACTTTTAACACTTTACTTTTAGTTATCACATTACAGATTCCTGGTAAAAATGAAAGTTTGATTAATTAGTTTTCAACACTATCGTTTTAACTGTTTTAAGGCCATCTGTTTGTGATGCTGTTACTGTTAGGTTTAAAAGACCGTCTCGTTACTAATACTACTAGTTTACTTCTCCCTTAACGAGTAATAAATGACTAAATTTATTTACAAAATATATATTTAATTAAGTAGAACATATTTGCATATCAGTGTTTTGTGTTGCAAATAACACAATTATTCAGTCTTATTATGACTTAACATCGCACATAACACCGATTTATAGATCACACTATATAAACTATAAGGCGTTATCCCTGTACCATAACTAATAAAGTATCTATTTTTAACTTTTCAGTATCTTTGAGATCAGCTTATATGTCACTTTTTATACGTCCATGAGTCGTGTTTCGATAATAATATTAAACTGCCCTTACTGTACTTAGATTTTTAAAATCCTTTGATAAGGTGGCACACAGCTAAGAAAATCGCACTGGTAGAGATTGAGGAAATACTGGTTAATTGTATTATAGGGTAGTTGGATAGGAAAAAATAAAAAGTTATCAATGAAGTCCAGTCAAACGGGACCCTTGTTACGGTTGAAGCGCCTCAGTGGTCAGTACTTGTGCCTCTGCTTTTTGTAATTAACATTAATAAAGTTGACAGGAGCATCATTAGTAAATTTGTAAAGTTTTCTGATGACATTATACCTTCGATATTTATAGCTGTATTGAGGATGTAGGGTATTCTAGAATGACTTAGATCAATTGGTAAGTTGGAGAAGTATTTGAAAAATGACTTTCAATTATAGCAATTGTATGGTAATGCATTTAATATAGGTGGGAACCACATCGATAATGTGACTGAATAAAATTATCCTAGTATGGTAGTGAATATTGATTACAAGTCAAAACAGGCATCATTTGGAATACCATGTATAGTTGTAGTGTTCGTATTTGAAATAGGATATTGACTTATTGGAAAAGTTTTAGGGGTACTAGGATGATTCCGAAGATGGAAGGATTATCTTACGCGGATTGGTTAATGTCTCTCAATTCGTAGGTTCTCAAACGTTTTTGTTCGTGGACCACCTGTATTTCTTTATCATTATTTTGGCGAATCACGACTTGATCTATACATTATGTTGCTACCGCTTCCTTTTCGTATGATCGAGTGTGGCCTAGTGGTTAGCTTGTCGCACTGTGGATCCATGGGTCGCGCTCCGTCCTATGGGGTCATGGGTGCATTAAAACGTAAACAGCAGCAGTAAGTCAAACCCCAGCACAAAGTTGACGAGCATATAATAAAAAAAAATGTTTATTTTACCTCGTGATCCCCCACGAATGCCGGCTATTTAAATAATTTCATCTAATACACATTTAATCCATTTTATGACCCCTTGTGGCTCAGTGTTAAGTCTATGGACTTGAAACTCTAAAAAATCGGCTTTCGATAATGTCTTTAATTTTATTCAGAAGTTATTATC